TTATTGGCAGTTTGGCGTCCTCCATTCGCCTAAATGTAATATTAGTACTGAGTTTTCTGTAATATTTGCAGGCGCGGACGCTGAGAAAGGAAGTCTAAGACCGAAATCTTGAGACGTATTAGTGCGGCGTCCAGTGGAGAGTCAGTCCGAAAGACAAACCTGTCAACCCCTTATCAGTGCCCTACCTTATTACAGACCAATTCAGACCTTATTGGTCATTCCGTGCCCTTAGAAATCTCAACGTTCATCCTACAAAGTCCCATCACAAGGGAGAAACAGACCAAACATTTTTTTGCCCGTATTTGAAACGGCTGCACGCCGTATGGACCTGAAAACTCAATTTCCCTGTTACAATAATAATAATAATACGTATGGGTTGATACGGTATGGAAAAGAGTACCGAGGAAGTGAGAGTGATGGGATAAGGTTGCGGGAAGTGTATTTGTTACATTTTAGAGGAGGCAAAAAGATCCGAATGGGTTTGATCATCGACGATCATCCAGCTTCCAACATCTGGCAGTACCGGGCCGAAACGGCAAAACCGCTCCACAGGTCCAGCGATCGACAAAGTGTTTGTGACAAAAAAAACAAGTAGCTACGCTTGATTTCAACGTAATTTATTATATACGATACATTATACAATACATACAACTTAAACAATGAAAATACTGCAACGTGTATACAGCACCAGAGATTGGAGTGGTAGGTACGGTACAGTAAATGTTTACATTGGGATTTTTTTGTTCCATTTGCATGTTTACTTATGGCAATTTCGGATAGTAAACAAATGCAAAATACAAAAAAATGTATACACAACACAAAAACATGTTACGCAAGAATGTGCAAAAATAAGCTATTTGAATTAACGAGTTAGTCGAGAAGTAGAAATAAAACAGCTAAGTTTATCTAGGATTGTCACCTGTCCGATTATTGACCCAAACAGTCCTCGAATTGACATTTGGCTAATCAGGAATTGATTTATACCGAGATTTTGTGCCATTTGTGCTGAACTTTATCACAGTATAACTGCAGTGCTGATAGTACCTCGGCTGGGAATTATGTCCGGAATTTTCTGTGGAAAAGTTCGCAAACCCTGGGAGAAAGTCGAATTGGCAAGATACAGAGAAGGCATCATGACACCAGCAATGGGAGTAGTCAAGAGTTCAACGCATGCCGATGGAAGGACCTGGGACATTGGAGATACGTAACACCCAAGAGGTATATAATAGAACCCGTAAAAACAAAGTTTTTCACTATAAATCCTTTATATGCGTGGCGGCTAGAGTCCTCTCGTCCTCTGGCTTGAGATGGCTGCCACCTATGGGTCAGATGATTGCCTCTGCCACCATTAAGCAATTGGTAATTAAATATAATTTTGTCCTAAAAAGTGTAAAATTTTGGACAATTAATGTTCGTGTAAAATTTTGGAACAAAAATTTTCACGAACATTAATTGTCACGCACAACGAGTCTGTGTGAAAAATGTCAGCTCGATTGGATCATGGGAAGTGGGTTAAAAAACGACCGAAAGATTTGCACGGCCCTAAGCAAGCAAGTGAACTTAATATAAAGGATTTAAAAATGGCATGAAGTGTCCAAGAATCGGAGTGGGATTGGGATGATTATCCGAAGCTAGAATGGGAGGAAACTCAACCAAAAAGCCTGTCTGTAGGTAGACAACTCATGGGGGGCAACATTGGCATGTCATGTACACAGCCCTTTTGGATGGGGGGGGGGGGGGCTCCCCATGCCGTTCGTGACGATTAGCTGACGACGCTTCACTCTTGCTGGTCAGTGCTGGATGAAGACGATGAACCATAGACGATGCAGCAGCACGAGTATTGGTACGGTGCAATAACTTTTGCTGAACTGCCCTCTGCTGCCCCCCACCGCTGCTGACAATCCCAAGCACGACCGAGGCTAAATTCTGCTTATCTTCGAACGCGGTGCTGTTTTTTTTTGTTTGTCCCATTCAGAATTATCCATTCTGTATTGGCATTCTACAGTCCAGAAGCGTAAAAAAAAACATTGACTCTCAACACGCGCGAAAAGTTGCACGCTTAATTTGTTGTTGTTGCTGCTGCCCCAGATGTATTTTAATCATCGTCACAACAACAACAACCACCACCACCACGCCTAAGCACGGGTGGTACCTTCTCTCTCCTCCACCCCTCTCCACACACACACACATCCACACAACAACAACAACAACAACCGCCATTCGCCACTAAGTGGCGGTGACGTCACCACGATGCTTGTGCCAGGCCAAGTGCACCTTGAGGCCACGTGAAGTGTCGAAAGCCCGCTGGCAGGAGGTCACGGGGCAGACCCAGGTGCCACTGGTCGACTGACCGAGATGACCGAGATGACTGGCTGATGCACCACCTGTGCCCCCTACTGTGCCAACTTGCTGTGCTTTAGCCACCCGGCGCTCCGCTCGTTGTTGTGAGCGTCGCTCCTCCGCCCTCCGTTGTTGTTGGAGGGCGACTGCCTCCAACTGCCCAGTAGCGTCCTTCACGAGCCTCCTCCACTGAGGCCGATCTTGACACCGCTGGTACCAGTCATCGGCAAGTCCACTCAGCTCCACGTCCTCCTGTACCACATCACTCCATCTCTTCTCCAGCCCGTGCCGCGCCCGTCTAGCCCCCTCGATCCGGCCGAACAAAAGCTGTTTAGGCATGCGGTGGCTGGGCATGCGGGCTACATGACCCAGCCAACGCAGCCTTGCCTGCCGGAGGAGCTCACTGATGGGACCTTGCCCAGATCTTTCAAGGATTTGTGAGCTCCTCACACAATCCAGCCTGGTTAAACCCAGGATGGATCGTAGGCAAGCCAGCCTAAATGTTTCCAACCGGCGAAGATGCTCCACCAGGGGGGTCCACGTCTCGCAAGCGTAGAGAAGGGAGGGAATGACCGTGGCCGAGAAGACCTGAAGCTTCGTGCGGAGCGACAGACCAGGTAGCTTCCACACAGCGTTACGCAACCGATGAAAAGATATTGCCGCTCGACTGATTCGGAGTGAGACCTCTGCTGATAGACTGGAGCCGGTCATAAGCACACTGCCCAGGTATGGGAAACTCTCCACTCTCTCCACAACTGCCCCATCACCAATTGGGAGTTGTGGGGGTGGAGTGTCCGATGGTACAAAATACCCAGGCAGGTGTTTGGTTTTGGTGGGGCTGATGGTAAGGCCCCACCTCTTAGTGGCACGCTCCAGTCTCAGCAGCAGCGCCTCCAACTCCTCTTCTGAATGAGCAGCTATTACCAAATCATCGGCATACATAACGTGGTTGACCAATAGGGAGCCATCCCTTGATCGCACCCGGGCGTCGATCAGCCTCCCATTATATCTGTACCAAACGGAAATTCCCCCGGTACAGCTATTGAAGGCTTCACGAACTACGCGGTCAAAATAGATGTTAAATAATGTGGGAGCCAGAGGACATCCCTGTCGCACCCCAAGGTGTACAGGGAAAGGCTCCGACTCCCGGCCGCGTAGTTTTACCCGGGCCCGCTCACCATCATGAAGGTCCTTAATGATCGTGAGCAGAGGGTCAGGGACTCCGAAAGCACGAAGAATAACCCAGAGTCCAGTCCTACTGATGGTATCATAGGCCTTGACCAGGTCAATAAAGCAGAGATGTAGGTCTTTTTGGAATTCCCTACACCTCTGCTGTAGCAGACGGACAGAAAATATGGCATCTGTGCAGGACCGCCCTTTCCTGAAACCGCATTGGGGCTCCGCAAGCCCCTCCTCAGCGTGCCTAGCAAGGCGATGTTGAATAATCCTTGCCAGGACCTTACCCGGCACACTGAGGAGTGAGATGCCCCTGTAGTTGTTACAGTCTGTGCGGTCCCCCTTCTTAAAGAGGGGGACCACCAGGGCATCCTTCCAGTCCTGCGGAACCCGTCCAGTGGTCCAGACTGTTGTTATGATGTCATATAGGGCAGTCTGTGCACAAACGCCACCCTCCCTCAGCATTTCGCTTGGGAGATCATCTCTGCCCGGTGCCTTCCCTGGTCTCAGACTCCGGATCGCCCTCAGTACTTCCTCAACAGCTGGAACCTCAGCCAGCCACTCACAGGGGGTGACCTCTTCCAATATTTGAGGCACCGCAGCCTCAGCAGGGTTATCCCCACTTTGTGCCATGATGTTTTCCTGGTTGAGAGAATTTCCCTCCCCCAGGACCTCACAGAAATGCTCAGCAAATCTGCAAACCTGTTCCTGGGGGTCGGAGATTGGATCACCGTTTTTTCCTCTAATGATGGTAATAGGTGTGGCGCTGCAGGTTACTTTTTTGATGGAGTTAAATAGTGATTTGTGATCACGGGCCACTGAGGCAGACTCCATCTCCTCAGCAACCCGCGACCACCACCCATCCTTACAACGCCTTACGGCTCTCCGAACTTCCGAGCGAAGGCTGCGGTAAACCTCTTCATTCTCTGACGTGGGATGCTGTAGGCGATGAGAGTGAGCCTGTCGCTTTTTCTCAATTAACCTGAACACCTCCTCTGTCAACATCCACACACACACACATCCACACACATCCACACACACACATCCACACACACATCATCTGACCACCCGCGAACCGCCAACTTCAAGCAGCCGCAAAAGAAACCCCCCACCCCCCCACCGCTGCCCCCACGTGGAGCGCATGCAGAGCCCCTTGTCCACGTGGCCACTTCTCGCGAGATGCGCGCCCTTGCAACTCTCGCGAGACACTCGCCTCGGCGAGAGAGAGAGGGGGGGGAGAGAGGGGGGGAGGTTCCCCTCCTAGCCCCGCCCACTTCCCCCACTAGCCACGCCCACTCCCCACAAGCCCCGCCCCTCTCCCCAAGCCCCGCCCCTCTCCCCCAGCCCCGCCCCTCGCGAGGCAGCTCGGCCCTCGGCCGCCATAATCGGCTCCGAGGCGGCGGCGGCGGCCCCCCGGCCCGCCTGACCCGAGCCTCCCTCGGCCTCCCTCGGTCTCCCTCGACCCCCCCCCTGGTCCGACCTCTCGCCCGGCCCCTGCCTCGTCTCGCCCTGCTACCCCCACCCCTCCCTCCCCACGTAGCCAATACTCCTACCCCCCCTACCCCCCACACCCCTTCACCCCGCATCCCGAGGGTTGTATCCGTATACCGCGTCTCTCTCAACGTTCGATTTCTCATCATCATCACCATCATCGTCGTCGTCGTCGTCGTCGTCTACATCGGCGGTGTCGCCTTCATCATCTTCTCCTCACGGACAGGTGATGTGGCACCGATTGGCGACATTTCTCACAGACGACGGGCCTCGTCTCGGCCCTCAGGTGGGCAAGGTGGAGACTGATGGAAGTCCCCCGGTTGTTGAGACGCGTTCGTCACGAATTGTCGCGGTCGCATCGAGTGTCCGTGTCGATTGATTAAGAGAGAGAGATGTTTGTGGTTGGTGCCGGTAGCGATCGTGGTGAGTGAGGGTGGTGGTTGTGGTAATAATGGTGGTGTCTTGAGGTTGTTGGTGATGGTCATCTGGTTGTGGTGGTGGTTGTTGTTGGTGGTGGTTATGGTGATGGTGGTTGTGGTGGTGTATTTGATGTTAATGCCAGTGATGATGGTGTCTGTGGTGGTTGTTGTTGTTGTTGTTGGTGGTGGTTATGGTGGTTGTGATGGTGGTTGTGGTGTTAATGCCAGTGATGATGGTGTCTGTGGTGGTTGTTCGTGATGTCTGTGGTGTTGGTCACGGTGGTCGGTGGCATCGTTTGGTGGTCATGGTGTCTTTGGTGGTCATGATGTCTTTGGTGGTGTCAGTGGTGACTGCGGTTGTGGTGATGGTGTTTGTGGTTGTTAGTGATGGTGGTGCCCATGGTGGTGGTGGTGTCAGCAGCTGCCATCAACTAGATGGCATCTGTGATGGTATCCGCAATTGTGATGGTGGAGTTTGCTGTGTGGATGGGTGGCTTAGTGGCCAGCGCGCCTAAGTTAAATTCCCTGTGTCGTAAATTATGCTTATACTTTGTTGTTTATTTAACACCCAACAAGTATGAATGTTGTTGCTGCGACGTGGTGCTGTTGAAGGGTGTTTGTTGGTTCGGATTGTAAGTGTCGGTCGTGAGTTTAAACCTCCTGGCTATTGTGGAGCCGAATGTTCGTGTCGTCATGGCATATGATCAGTAGCAGCTTATACATCATCAAGCAGCCCATGGCCAATTCGCTACCGAATTAAAAGGGCCCCTTCCAATACAACCGCCGTCTCTCACCAATCAATCAATAATAATAATCCACCGCGAATAAGCGAATTTCGCGGCTCCATCTCCTCCAAGTGACGAGCTTTTTCGGACGCGTTTCATTCCTTGGTGTTTGCCTGTCATGTCGTAGTCGTGTCCCATCGTCAGCCGTCGTTCAAAAGAGTCAATGACTTTCTCGATAGTTGAAATCGTGTCACCCTCTCCCCACCCCCGCGGACGTATTCATCCACGTGTTCCTCTATTCTGTCCTTAATGTTGCGTCGCGTTCGTCAATGTAATTGTGCAACTTGTTGCGACGTCAGTGGGCTATGGAGTACATGGAAGAGAGGGCAAATGTGTGAGTGTCCGTTGTTTGAACTCGGCTGGTTTTTTTTTGGTCGTGTCGTCTTTCATCACATCAGCAACAGCAGCAGCAAACATCGTCGTCATCACCATCGATATCATCCGATTGATCCTCATCGATATCGTCTTCGATACTGTTGTTGTGGCTTGGGTGTTGGTAAAAAAAAGCACCACTAGCATTGGTTGCACCGCGAGGTGAACGGAAGTCAAACATTGCTGTGTCAAGGATGGACTGGTCACGACCATGTGAATGTCGAGTTTCCAGCACGGCTAAGGAACGTTTATCGATCTTGTAATGCAACGTATTTTAAGGTTATATTTATTTTGTCAATCCACTGATATGTGAAGGCCACCTCAACCCCCCCCCCCCCGTGTAAGTCATGGGGGTTGACCATACTGCAACCACGCTGAGTCAGTGCGTGTGTGGTGAATGTGGGGGCCAGGCACAGGACTGGTTCAAGATACATCACTCACTACGGATGTCAGCCGTGGCCGGGAATCAAACTCAGCTTGCTGGGTCCCATACTACAATGCGCTGGCCGCCGTGTCACTGCGCAACCGCTATAGAATGAGGGGACAATTTAACTTTTTTTTTTATCTTTTAACAACGTGAAGTGAATGGTAAATGCTGTTTGGTAGCATCATTCCTTTATATATAGTTGATGCCCTGTGCTTTAAAGCACTTGGTTGATTGATTGACAAGCGGTCTGGAACTAAATTACAAAAACATGAATCCTGTCCACTGCGAGGAAGGTCTGTAATATATATTATGCATCTCACAGGGCATTGTATTGCAAAAGATTTATCTGGGAGGCTTCTGCAGTTGAACATTTTCTAGTGTTGCCTGTGTGCAAATCACCCGAAATATGCACTACCTGGTCAGGTCTCGGAAACGAAGCAGGCATGAGCCTGCTATACACAATCGCCGTGAGCAGCAAAATCCATTGTTGTACTGTACATCTGTGCTCCCCACCTTCACCAACCGGCAGCAACCAGTGCTGTGATGTATCTCAAATAAACCCTCCCCCACGGAACCAACACGGTGTGGGGAGGCCCTCATCCAGCAGCGGATTGACAAGAAGAGACTGTAACACGTGCATATGTGAAGTGTTGGTGAACACTGTGTCAAGCAAGGCTATGTGGCATTTGCCTCTTCCCCCCCACCCCAACTCTGTGGTTTGGATCTGTTTTTTGACTTCTCCCTGTTAGTCGTGGTTTGGTTAAGCGGCGTGTTTTGCCCGTCCCCCCCCCTCCTCCTCCTCCGAGCTCGTGTTTTGTTTTGCTTGAACTTCTAGACGGGAGGCCGCACGAGACCCGTCACAGTACGGGGGGGGGGGGTGAGGAGCCCTTCGACTCAATTCAGGGGTGACTGCCACGACCAGGGCCAGGCACAGCGCGCATCTAGGCAAGGTTCAACACTTTTGCTATTTGGTGTTTGATTATTTTGGTTCAAAATGATCGAACAGGATTCTGATGAGAATGCGCTCCTCATGGGAGCTGCTGTTAACCCCCCCTTCCCTTGCATCCAGGGCTCTCTGGGAAGCCCATCTGCCCTTGCCCCCCCCTTTCCTTGGCGTCAACCACTTTTGTTTTGCTTTAAACGCCAACGCTCAGCGCCGGCTTCTGATCCGTGTGCCCGTTCCGCGCGTGTCCCGTGCCTTTGCGTGCGCGTTTGCGTCTTTGGGCCCCCGGATTCACGTGCTTGTCGGACTTTGCCATTTGTCCAATTTTTGGCGAAAACGTGTCGAAGTTTCCATCGTCAAATGGTAGGCGGGCGGGGAGGGGGGTGGCCGATAGCCAAGGCGCGATGTGTTTTGGCCGTTTCGTCAAGATGCGAATCCGGGCCCCCTTTGTCTTTGCTTTGTGGACCTGTTTAGTGCCTATCTGCGCGCGCGTTATGTGCCTGCGCAGTTTGCACATGTTGTGCACAGCCCTGAGTCAGTGTTTGTAGTTTACACCGAATTTAATTACAATACCCAGCAATGGTGGGCCTTTTTACCGCACTTAGTTAACATTTAACATTGGCTTTATAGGGGACTGAATGCGTTTGTAAGCAAACATGTCCAATGCCGTATAATACACTGTATGGCATTGTCCATTACACTCCCACCTCTGCATTTTCCTTTCACGGTGTCTTCTTAACATTCGTAAAAGTTGACTTTTTTCCCATCGGATCATGATTTTTTTTTTTTGCCGAAGATGTACGCGGGGCGGCGGGCACGGGCGCCCTGCTCAATGCACAAACTGCCTTTCCGTCGCAGTGGAATTGACGCGCTGTCTGACAGCGAGCGCTCTGTGAAGTTATAGGCTCCTCTCTCTGCCTGGCCCCGCGTGCACATTAACGTGTGAAAAACAGGGCTGGCGTAGGCGTTTCTGAACTCTCCACGGTGCCTTGAAGCTGCTGGTGAACTTATTGACCCGCGGCAGCCCCAAGGCCAGCGCTCAGTGTGCGGAGCAGAAGAGAGCACGTGGGCTGCCTGCCCACTTGGGTGGTGCGAGGCTTTTGGCTGCTCAAATATTTCCTTGAGCCATAAAAACGTTGATGCCTCCTTTGCTGCTCCGCAGAGCTGGAGGGGTGATTAAAATACCTCGCGTTTATGCCCCAGCTCTGTGCATACACAATATTTGAATGTAAACACAGCGCGTGTACGTGTACGCGTACACAATGCAAGTGTGTGTGTATACCTCTTGGCGGCCGAGTAATGGTCACCTGCACAAGAGGACGTCCGCTGATGGGATGGAGCAATTACATCAGCTCGTATGCATGAGCGTTAGGTGGTTTATTCATTCTGAGGATCGTGAGAGATGTCAACGGCTTGGGGGGAAGCCTTCATCTATCAGTGGTTTAATAATAGCTGAAAACCATGCACCTATTGAGGGAGTGGCACTTTTGTAAACCGGTAGAATAGTTTTACGAGTGGATGTGGAGGCGTTGGCGTGATTTCGCTGATGTCCACTGTTTGATGCGAAGCAAGTTTTGAAGGCTTGCACGAAGTTAAGATCCTTGATATCAGACATCTGTGGTTAACTGCGCCCGCCGCCGTGATGTCTCCGATTTTGTTGGCTTTGCAGATGTTCCAGGCCGTATTGACTGTGTGTGGTTTAATGCGCAGTGTGTGCCAGTGTATGTTTGGTTAGGGTTAGGTCTCATGTTGTGCCCCCCCTTCTCCCTCCCGCTGCGTGCCTCTGATTTGCTTCTTTTTTTTTCTAAATCCACCGCCATGTAGAGAATAAACACTCGCACCTGAAGTTGTTTTCTGGGGATTCTTTTTTTTTTACTCCCAGTGACCGTGGCAAGTCTCAATTTTTTTTAGTTTTTACTGTGTTCACAATCTGTAAAATAATTCCTCATACCTTGTGGACTTAAGCCGCTCAGTTTCAAATGTCTTTTGGTTCAGAATCACTTAAGTGTTCACCCGCAATCCTACTTGAACATCTCAGGACAAAGTGAGTCACTGCTAATCTACTTGGCAATCATTGAGTTTATAGAAAGGTGCCGAGCACAAGTAGCTGATCCGTGACAGCTTTGAGATCCGTGTATATAAGTTCAGATTGGAATTGAAAGTATCGTGTAAAACAAAACACATATATTGGTACTCTATTCCAATTGTGGAGTAATTACAAAAGCTTCAGAGAATCAATGCTTAACATGGGGCCTGTAAACTTAACTATAAAGTATTTTTATTTTACCAAGTAAGGCCCACTGAGCTATGTATCTCTTTTTCAGAAGCGACCTGGCTAGA